TCTTCCAACGGTCCCCCTATCGCCCCTGTAACTGAGCCCCTCCATCTTGCTGCTGGCTCTTCTCTTCTCTCTCCTTCCACTTTTCCCAGCATTAGAGCCTTCTCCAGAGAGCTGGGTCTTGGCATCATCATCATCATCATCATCATCATCATCATCATCATCATCATCATCATCCACATTACCAGGTACTTAATTTTTCAATCAGCAACCTCCATTCTCTAAATCGCAGGGTTCATGCCTATTTCATAATTACTATTTCTTTTCCTACCTTTTGCTTGTTGCTCAGTTTAGCCTGATAGATAGTTCTGGAGAACTGAAAAAGCTTATTCTCTTGGGTGATATTTTGGCTGATCTTTAAAAGGGGATGGTTTACCCTTGAATTTTGGATTTTTTTTCTTTGTGAACCACCATGGCTATCTTTGTTATTTATGTATCTAGGCTAATCAGAAAAGAAGTAAAAAGACTGCTCGATATATTAGGATCCCAAATGATTGGAGTGTGTGTGTGTGTGTGTGTGTGTGTGTGTGTGTGTCTAATGGGTGAGTTCACAAAGGTAAAAAAAAAAATAGCAAGGAATGTTAATTCTGGAGATTTTCTACACATCAGTAGAAAGTCATGAACTATTTAGTCACAGAATTATGACTGAAGCCTGATTCTAAGACTTGAGCCATAATTCTTAATAGACAATAAACCCTGTTCAATACAATTCCTATATATTTATACAGAAAACATGGAAGATGATGCTGTAAAAAAAAATGCTTTCTGTGAGGAATCTCCCACCTCTGTCCCACGATGGTGTAGGTGGGAATATGTAGTTTTTTTGCAAATTTATTTTGTTTTCTAATTAATTTGTGATGATCTTGCCCTGCACACAGAACCTATCTCTCTGTTATACAGACATGCATTTCATCCTACCAAATTTAGATGCAAAACACTGAGAAAATAATGGAGGATGCAGCACCCTGGCTTTTCTCAGTGCTTGCTGGGAGTGATGGGAGTTGTAATCCACCTCAGCTGGACTGAGAGAAGTGCACATTCTGAACCCCAACAGTTAAAAAGAAAAAAGAACTTGGTAAAATTTACCAAAACTTTTTTTTTTTTCAAATTGTATGTTTTAATGAGAAGCAGGGGGGAATTGTTAAATGTGTGAACTGAAACCAGTAATTAACTATATAGAGTTTTAAGTCAACGGACAATGAAATGAAATGAAACTTCATTGTTGAAGTTTGCAGAATCCCAGAAAAACAGTGGAATTCCTGGCATTTCACTTCGAAGCCAAGTGTAACTTTCAGGCCAGCAAAAACTGTACAGCTCTGCTCCAGAACTCTTGTGTGTTCATTACCGCTTTGGCAAAAAAAGGAAAAAACAAGAAACAATTTTCTGGTCATTCTTAATGGCTGCCTGTTGAGTCATCTATCACTAACACTTTGGGGCAAAAATAGGGAAAATTGGGCTTCAAAAAGGCAGAAAAGTGGTGATTGGTTTATTACATATTCTGGCGAGTCTTTCAGCAACTCTGTTCACTGCTCCTGTTTACACAATGTATGAGTCAATCTGAAGGCAGCCTTGATCTGCAGATGTTTTACAGATCCCTTGTTTTTGCACTACTGGGCAGCCAACCCCAATAGCTCTCCTGGATCTCCACTGAGGGGGCCAAAAGTGCCTGCAATCAGTTTGGTCTGCTTCCACCGGACAGTCTGTGTGCACAGAGGAGTATTGGCAAGGTATGGTCACCAAAGTCAAGATGGCAGCCATGACTGCAAATGAAACTCCACCTGTTTTTATGTGCATCGCACAGCAGAGCAAGTGGCCAGATTATCTCTTTTTCCTAGTGACAAAACACTGTCAGTTTGGTACTCAGAAGGGGATTCTTCCTCCTTTTCCTTTCTTTTACACTCCAGATGCAAAAGAATGAAAAGGGTATCTTGAAACTACAAGAGTGTGCCTTCTCCAGGAAACTCCATTGTGCATCCATCTGGCGTTCTGCTTCCTTCTTTCGCTGCTCAGCACACTCAGTCTTCACTGGACTATTTCTTGAGTTTGTTGCCTTTAAGAATAACCTTTTTCCTCTCCTTATCTCATTATTCCTGCAAACTGCAGAGCTCCGTTGGGCTGAGACCCTCTACTTGGGCATAGACCATACCATTTTAGCTAAAGCCGCATTGGCGCTGCAGCTCAAACATTAGAAGTGTAGAGAACAATGGCCTTTGTTGCTGGAAAATGTCAGCTATTGAGTATGTATGTACCCGTTGGTGGAAATGCCTGGTTTACCTTCAGATCCTTTTTATAACTTGTACTTATGGACTATCTGGTTAAAATCATGGTGGTTATGTAAGTGTGATAAATACTTTGGAAGAAATAGGACTGACTCTATAGATGTGTGTGTTTCAGATGAAATGTTTATGATAATACAGCAATTCAACATAATAAAATTTTCAACATCTGTCTGGAATCAGCCTTCTCCAATCTAGTGCCCTCTAGTAACAACCCAACTCCAGCACAGAAAAACGGACTATAAAAGTACAGTATACTGTATGTTGAATAACACAAATCCTACTTTTTCCCATAACAACATCCCTGCAAGGCAGACTGGGGTGAAAGGGAGGGACTGCTCCAAATATTTATTCAAAAGTATACAAAATAGTCATGTTGAGTTGGCCCAAAGGCTTTCAAAACATTCCTGACATTATTCCTTCAATACTGGTACTGATACTGGTCACTGTCTCTAATCATTGTCAACGAGAGCTGGATATGATGGGAGTAGCACTCTATCATCTACATACCCTAATTTCTAATCCTCTATTCCAGTGTTTCTCAATCTCAGCTACTTTAAGATGTGTGGATTTCAACTCCCAGAATTCCCCAGCCAGCATTCTGGGAGTTGAAGTCCATACATCTTAAAGTGGCTAAGATTGAGAAACACTGCTCTTTTCTATTACCCAAGGTGTCCAAATAATAATGGGTGGGAACATTTGGCTTCTGGACTACAGTTCCCAGCATTCTCCTTATATGCCATGCTGCCAGGGGCTCCTGGGAAAAATGAAACACACGAGTATCAGATGGAGGGACCTGGCTTGGCAATAGTAAATATGAAAAGGATTTGGGTGGATTTCTCATCCACCACAGGCTAAACATGAGCGAGCAGTATGATACAGTTGTTAAAAGGGCTATTTTGGGGTGCATTAACAAGGTTCATATCATATCACAGTAAATAATTGTTTTATTCAGAGCCCACCTGGAGTCCTGTGTCCTGGGCACCACCGTTCAAAAAATAACAAATTGAAGTAAATTTAGGGGAGAGCTACCAAGATGGTAAAGGGTGTGGAAACTAACCCCTACAGAGTACAGTAATACCTCGGTTCACGAACGCTTCTGTTCACGAACAATTCGGTTCACGAACAGCAGCATTCGCAAAATTTTGCTTCCGTTCGCGAACTCCGCATCGGGTGACGAACACGACCCGCGGCCATCTT